AGCCAAGGCATGACCCTGAGGAGGAAGCTGACCCGAGTATCGTAGTGAAGTATGGCAGCAGCATAAAGGGCAGCCGCCAGCAGGCACAGCACTCCAGAGAAAATATGAGATCTTGACAGTGTCTTCCCTCTGTGCTGCATGAGGGGGATTTAAAAAAAAAAAAAAAAACTTTATTTGCAAGCTATTTGCTGGTTGGAGACAAGGATTGTTAAACATGATCACTTACGACTCTGTAAAGTGTGGGGAACTTGGAGGTAGAGGTGATGGCGAAAGACACCAGGCCAAGGGTGTAACCCAAGATTTCAGTGTTGTTCTAGTACAATATCCACGAAAAAGGAGTAAAGATACAGTTAATACTTTTATGAGAAATGCTGCACCATTTGAAATTCAAATATTGTTCATGTACAAATCTAAAGTCTCTGAAAAATTGGGATGTCCAGAGAATTCAGTCACATTTGTTTTCTGAAAATCTTTCAAGACTTGAGCTCAGTGAGCATCTGAATAATTAATTGAGTCACAAATGTTTAACAGAAATCTTTCACCATTAAAATGAACGGAAACACCATTAATATGTTCCAGCCCTAAACCCCTCCAAAACTGTTATGTTTTTTTTTAATGAGGAAAGTATGAATCTTTAATATTATGTCCTGGAGACTCAGCTCCTCCGTGCGACAACATTAGTCATTCTTGACAGAAGTTCTAAATGCCTGTGAATGTTGTTCTGCGGTATGTCTACATGTGTTGCAGCACCGTTTATGTTCAGGTGCTAGCCGGTTTCAGGGTAACAACACCACCACAACGATGCTGATTGGTACGTTGTTACCCCGTGTGGCTAGGGAGTTCCCATTTTATGTTAATATTGAGGTAGCGGATGCCATGTGGTTGCTTTAAATACAATACAATACAATAATTCTGTTTGGTTTGACAGTAACCTTCATCTAAGAGTGCCAAACAGCTTGAAGACACTTTCTTGAAGAATATTAACTCATATCTGCCAAACTGCTACTTGATGTGAAGTGACTTCAGTCACCTGTCGCCATCAAAAGCTCTCAAGTTTGCTGGTGACTAGTACCTCAAGGCATATATATGCAACAATGACGGCAGAACAACCCAATTGGAGGATTCGTAAATGCTTTAAGGTGATGCCAAGACATCACAATCCCATCATTGCTCTTCTGTCTCTGTCTCAGTTGAAATCTTGTAGTAGTAGTAGTAGTAGTAGTAGTAGCAATCTTACTTGCAGGGCAACATAAAGCAGTCTCCTCCCTCTGAAGACCCTGTCTGCTGCTGGACTGTGGAGGACGCCTGACTTCAGGAAACCTCCTGTGAGTACTGCCAGCAGACAAACTGCAAGTAGGTGAGATCTCCTGCGCCTTTTGATCATTCTTTGCCTTCGCTCTGAAGCACAATGCCACATATAAGCAGCTGTTTTGCAACCTGATTTTGACAATTACAGACTAGCTGATGTTCGAAATAAATCCATCATAAATGTATTTTTTTTAACTTACCTGCTTGCAAGTTCCTGCAAAAACACAGTGGAATACACCAGGAGATAACATTTACCATATCCAGGGAAGCAGAGATAAGCCCCATAAAAACCTGTAGATAAGTGTGATTTAATATCTAAAATGAGCCTTGGTGTTTAAATACAATAAATATTGCATTTACTTGAATGTGCAGCTGCCTGGACAAAATGGCTCCAGTGAATCCACACAAGTTACCAAGGAAACAGTAGAGGGAAGTAACAGTATGTCCAGGATGTCCTCCATGATGTTTGCACCTCTGACCCACGAGACTTGAAAGGTTAGAAGTAACACTTAAATAGAAATCTCAGAGAAGCAACCCACAGGGGAATACAGGCAGACCACCTTGAGTGATGAATAGCACCAATACAATCATTTCAAAATTTAAATATATGTAAAAGGTCGTGTTCTCCATTCAGAAAACCCAAATAACATCTAAATTTCAGGATGGTATAGACTCATCTTAAATTACTATATTAAACCTTCAGTGATCTTCATCACGGTAATGTTGTTACATACAGCACATTAGTACTGCAAATGCAAACATACAGAACCAAAATACATACCGGTACAGTACATTGTTTTGGTACTGACTGATATCCTCCACACAAGAAATCAACATTTATAATCACAAATTAAAAGTTACATACGTTGTTTTTGATGAATAACTGTATCAAAAATATTTTTATATAACATGTTTGTGTGAATGAATGAATAGAATTAACTCTGCGCACGTTGTAGGCTGTGGCTTTATAAATTTCAGAGCATTTACTGGTCAGTTCTTGCATATCTGACACACCCAATATGGCGGACGCGCTGACGAATCACGCATGGAGCATCTTGTTCAATGGGGCGTGTATATCAATAAATTAACACACCTGTCCAATTACTCAGCACTTTAATTGGCATCTAGTTAGCATTGTAGTATATTTTAGTACTTTAACGCCAATTTAAAGAAACTGATCAACCGTATTTATCAATAAGGACTAACTGTTTATAAAAAAAATTGAGGAAGAGATTTGAGTGAAAGGCACTTACTGAAGACATGAGACGAGTAACAGAAGAGACGATAAGCAAACAAGCCGAACAGAAATGCAACTTTGTCCTGGGTCACGACTAGTAAAACAAGAGTTGAAAGAAGTCGTCCAAAACGTGAGGAGACTCGAGAGAAACGAGTTGTGGTCTTCTCTGGTCCAGTCAATCTGCTGCTGGCTCGGTTTGGCCATGTCAACAGTTTGTAGCACATTTGCATTTCGCCAAGCAGCGGGAAGAAATTGACCAATAAAATGGTGCCAATATTTATTCGGGTGTGGTGCTGACGCATTTTTTTAAGGTGGGCGTGGTGAAATTACAATTATAAAAACACTGGAATTATTGTTTTAGATCCGATAAATTATCCGTCTACTATGTTTAGTAATTTAATTTATTATCACCGTGTACACGTACACGCAGAAGAATGTGGCATTCAAGGAAAGTGCGACTTCAAAGCATTCGAGACGAAAGTAAACAACACAGATGGCTGATTCCGATCAATTGTTTGTTGTTCTGGTTCAGCACAATGTAATTTGATCCGCAGCTCACCTTCATAATTTTATTCTTTTAATTTTGGTGTTTTTTTTTTTTTTTTTTTTAGAAAAGTATTCTCTTCTTTAAAGAAGTATTCTCTTCAAAGCATTTCTTTCATTTTCACCTTCAAGCTCATGCAAAGGTGGCATGGACTGGTTAGCTGCACGTCCGCCTCACAGTGCAGAATGTATGCGTTTGATTCCGGCCGGCCTTCCTATGTGGAGTTTGCATGATTACTCCCACATTCCCAAAACATGCATGGCGGAGCAAGAGAACACTCTCAATTGTCCCTGGGTGTGACCTTGAGTGTGAATGGTTGTTGGTCAATGTGTGCCCTGCGACTGGCTGACAACCAGTTCATCAAGACGACTGGGATAGGCTCCAATCGCATGGTACACATAGACAAACCATTCACCCTCACAATCACATGTAAGGACAATTTAGTTTTCAATGAACATACTGAGCATGTTTTGGGGATGTGGGAGGAAATCAGGGTACCTGGAGAAAACCCACGCCTGCACGGGGAGAGCATGCAAACTGGACACAGCAAAGATAAGATAAGATAAGATAAGATAAGATAAGATAAGAGAACCTTTATTAGTCTCGCAATGGAGAAATTCCCAATTCACAGCAGCAAAGTTATGAATGGAAGAAGTAGAACAACAAAATATAGGAGCTGCTGGAAAGGCAGCCACTCACGCGGCGCCATCTTGAAGTCAAAATAACAAAAATAACACAACACAACACATAGGACAGACAGTCGTGCAATCTTCCCCACTTTCCTGCATACACTTTGTTGTCTGAAGCAGTTATAGATGAAAGAGGAGAGGATCAAAGTGTCCTTTTACCAGTGGATCAGAGACGTCATGCTGAAAATGTGCACGTCTGCTACAAGCTAAGTTTTGAAAGCAAACACGAAGCTGTAGCGTCCATTGACAAAAAGAGATTAGTTCACTACTCTTGTCCCACGTAATCCGAAGCGCTTGGAATCGAAACTATAACCTCTGCAATGTGAGATGGACGTGTTCACCAGTCTTCCACCGTCCCACCAGTTAGTAGTACATGCTTGTCATTATTATTATTGGTTGACTTTTCTGAACTCAAATTTTTTGCATCTGCGCCAATGAGCTTGACAATAAAGACTTTGTATTCCATTTTGTGGTTGTTTTTATGCCCTCGAAAGAAAGTTGGGTTAAGTCTGTCAAAATAAGCATGTACTATGATACAGCAAATGGCCCATTAAATGGGATGTGGTGCTTTGATCTCTTCGCCTACATTTTGATACCTGAAACAAATCAGGTAATGCGGAATTAATGGTAACTCGACGTCAGTTGAACAGGCTGTGAGTATATTTTGAAGAATTTGACGCTTTCACTACGCGTTAAACCAGGGGTGTCAAACTCATTTTTTCCCGCGGGGCACTTTGGAGTTACGTCTTCCCTTGGAGGGCCATTATGACAGCGAAACCACAAAAATGTTTAATCGTCTCAAGTTGACACACATGATTTGCGTTCACTGGCCACATAAAATGACATGGTGAGCCAGATCCGGCCCCCAGGCCTTGGGCTGGACACGAGTGCGTTGAACTAGCGACCGGAAGTTAACACGCCTCCATTTTAAAATTGCCTCTCTGTATTTCAGTTAATCACTGCCAGTCATTTTCAGACCCTCCTTTACCCTACCATGTGAACCACCCTCCAACATAACTGATTTGCTTTCCAAGATTCATGTGGGTTCTGCAGTTGCTCCAACATCTATTTGTGTTTATGTAGCTGGGTGAATATCCTCATAGGTGTGTCCATACCATAATTTCTGCAAGTATGGCCTGAAGTAGTTTAAATGCAGCATGTATACAAGTGTGCTCTAACGTGAAGTGTGAAAGTGTAAAATATGTACGACATGGCACACATATAGTTTCATAATTTTATCCAAAACACTGATTTGGAACATACATCATATTTGTTGAGAGTTCTGTACAATGCACGTGGGGTGATGTATGTTTGGAATTGAGATTTCTGCTTACTGTAACAATTCGGACATGATGATTATTAGTCATGATCTTAGTGCTCTGATTTGTAACTGATGATCCAGTTGATGGAATGTATTCCATAGGGTGACGAACAAACCATAGCGGTCCATTATAGATGACGCATGCCAAAGATAATATCAAAGCATCTTCAGGATTAAGAGGCCTTAAAATTCACAGATTTTGTTCACCATTAATTTGTTAATGGCACAGTTTTGAGTGTTTGTCTAGTCTGTTTGGATTATTCTCTATTTGAGATTAGAGCTTCAGGCATCAAGATGCTTGTTCAGCCGACGCACTTTTTCCTTCTTGTTCCTGTTGCCGTGTTTCTTCCAAGGTTTTCCCAACATGGTCTCTGTTCCGGCTTTTCCAGGTGCCACGATTCCGCTGCCTGGTTTGTAGCCCATGAAACCTTGGACTCCTTTAGAGAGTGCTCGTACATTCTCCTAAAACAGACACAAAGATCCAATTTAAAATCACCCAGTCTTTAAACCAGCCTAATAAAATGGAGTGACTGAAGCAGTTTAGAAGTTGTTTATTTACTGCATGAAAGAAGTTCTTGTCCACCATATTTTCAATTCTCTTAATTTTTCCTGTGTTATTGGTCGAAGAAGGGTCACAGTTGTCCAAATCATTTCTTTGGAATTTGCTGTGCTGTGGCTGGAAGTCCTCAGCCTCTATGTGAGGAGGAGGATGGCAGTATAGAAGTTTTCCCTGTGTAAGAAGCAACACTTTATGCAAGGCAATTTGGTTCCCATGACGGTTCGGTTGCTTTGACGAGAAACTTATATTCTGGAGAACTACCGTTGCCATAAATATGCCACATTTTGTGCATTTAAATTTGACTCACATTGACATAATCCTTCAGGATGTAGCGGGCAGATCTGGGCTGATCAGGCTGTCCGTGCGATGTCATAAAGCCTCTCATGTCTGAAAACAACAAAAAATCCTATTCAAAACACAACAATTGTAAACACACGATTCAAAATAAAACCATCTTCTTTGCCTTTTGTTTTTTGTTGAAGAAATATATTCCCCGTGCATTGATTTGGCAAGTATCTGAATAGGACGGTAGGGCAAATGGCAATAAGCTAGAAGACATCCAGGATATAACACAGTGATTTACAAAATCTTTCTTTCGTGATTCCATCAAAAAAATAAGCGACTGAAACAGATTTGAGGGAAAAAAATGGCACTTTCAAAAATGGAGAGAAATTGGACAAATCGGCTAGCTAATATCCATTAATGCGTTCCTGCATAAGAGAAAGCTCATGTCAGCACGGAGGCATACAAATATCTTCTCTATCAAGAAAAGCCACTAGTTGACTTTTTTTTTGTTTTTGTTTTTATTGAAGAATTGTTGTCTGGCTCCTGGTAAAACTGCTACAATGACAACGTTCATGCTTATCTCTTTGGGGCCGCCATTGTTTCTTTACAAGCTTACGGCGTTGTCCAATACAGTGCGCAAAAAGCGCCACGTTTTGCTTTTATTTACAGCTTTAACAATGCTTATTCCAAAGTTAGTTCAGAAGATGTAGTAAAGACAATAATAATGTATTTGTTTATTTTCCAGTAATAAATTATTTCTAGCATTGTAGATTGGACAGTTTTGAATCCATTTAAATCAATGAACTTAATAATTTTGTACTCTACGAATCATTTATTAGTATGTTTGTGAAAAGTTAAATAATGTATTGTTCGGATGGCTCATTTTTGAAGAATACATGATTGTGCATGATCATTTTTACAGTTGTATGACGGCAGGTAAACTGCTGCAATCTTCGTTGCAGTCTTACATCCATACGCCATAAGCAGCTCCTCCGAGGTGGGGTGTCTGTCGGGGTCTTCATCCTCTCGTGGCCTGATGATGTTGATACCATACGTGCCCTCCAGTACATGTCGAGGGATCGTCTGGCAGACTTAATATACTTGTTAAGTTCATAACACTGTTTTTAGAAAGGCAATACTCAGAGATTTGTGGGAATAAATTTCTCAAGTGTAAAGGATATGAGAGAGACTGCTGGTACATGGTCTCTCATCTGGTCAATGGGCAGAATCCCGCAGCAGATCATATCAGCTTTGGTGGAGACAAAGGAGGGCATAACTAGACCGGGGCAGTCACACAGGCACAGCCCTGGCTCCACAAACAAAGTCTGTGAAACATGAAGTGAAATTAACATTCATCCGAAAGGAGTCTACAACACAGAGTGATAAATGACACGGTTGATGCTTGTACCTGAAAGTGCTTCGTGTGTCCAGGGGTTGCAGAGACCGACACTTTTTTGTTTCTTAAAATGGTATTGATAGTTGAACTCTTGCCCACATTCGGATAACCGACCTGTTGAATGCATAATGGTGAAAAATGGTTCATTTCAGCTCGAGATGCACGCTTATGTCTATGACATCTAGCCCACTCTGACCCCACGGCATGTTGCGAGACTCAATAGACTGCACTAAAATTAAAGGACACAACAAATTGGTTGGAAAAATGTACACACCAATCCGACTGTAAGTTGTCCCTCTTTACATCTGGGCCTATTGTGAACCATCTTGAACATCTCCAACAACTCGTCCTTGTGCAACAGGCGAGTGGAATTACGGAAAGGGGTCTCATTGGATTTCCAAACAATATCTTCCTCTTCATGCCCCTCATCTTCTGAGGCAGTAAACCACTCCTCCTCCTCGACAGTTACGCTTTCCCGCAGCTCTTCCCAGTGATCACTCTCCTCTCCCTCCTCATTCTTGTCATCTGCCTCCTTTAGCCTCGAATCTTCATTGTCTGGTTGTGCTCCATCTTCTCGGTCACTCTCTTCAGATTCTGGCTGCTCTACCTCCATGCCCTGTGGAACACACACAGGTGCCTCCCAGTAAATTCTAACATTGGAGAAAAGTTGTTTTATTTCAGTCGTTCAATTACAAATTATTCATTGCCTTTCTGTAATCTACAGTTTGTTTCCATGCATGCTCACCTTTTCTTCTGCATCCAACCTATCACTTTCAGCAAGGGCGGACCAAAACACTGCCCTCAAGCCTTCTTTCTCAAAGTGTCTGGCCCAGGCTCGCCTCTGCTGCCTGGTCAGCAGGTCCGCCTTATTCACCAGCAGCATGTTCACCTTATTCTCTGACACCTCTTTTACATATAACTCCTGGCAGGACATATCAATGCAATTAATACCACATAATGGAAACGAAATTAAAATTAAAAAAACAAAACACTCTCACCAGGTCAGGACATCTGAACAATGATGGATTTCTGGCATCCACGATCTGCACAACAACGTCACTGCAGGAAGTCACAAAATGTCACCTCAATTTTCAAAGACTGCAGTCTGATAAAGAGGGAAGCATTTTTGTTTTGTACCTCCTCTCAATGACTCTCCACAACTGCCTCCAGAACTCCAGATTCCTCTCAAACGGAGTAAGACACAACTTCTGTTCCTCTTCCAGCCTTAGGAAGCAGTAGCAGTTACATTCTTGATACATTGATAAATGAAAGAAATTTAAAAGCTTATAAATACTATGCAGAACATGAATCACTGTGCAAGTTGTCTTCTCCACTCCAGGAAACTGTCCTTTTCTGCCAGCTGCAATGCCTCGGGGCTGGTGCTTTCATCCCAGTGGGGGCTGGGGAAAAAAGATCATAAAATATGATAAAATAAAATGATAAAAGTTCATTAGTTTTTTTTTGTTTTGTTTTTTTGGGGTTACATTTACCGTCGAGGGATTCTGAGAAAATGCTTGTTGTCTTCATGAAGGTTCTTCAGCCTCTTTTTCTCCTCAGCTGTCAATAAGCCTGCTCTAGCTTCTGCTGGTACAAACTTGATGTTGAGTTTCTCTATGAAAAATACAATAAATTAGGAAATGTTCAAAAAAACTATATTATTACTTTAAATTATGGCATCTTGAAAAATACAATAAATTAGGAAATGTTCAAAAAAACTATATTATTACTTTAAATTATGGCATATTGATGTCTGCCTTGCAGAAGAATATTGATCCAATTATTTACTGTCTCTTCAGAAATTGGATGTATTATTTTTCCATTCATTACAAAACAACGTAATAGTATCACCCACCAGCTACGAACTCTGTTCCTGCTAGTTCTGCAGTAGCCAAAAAGTCATCCATGGAACTTTGTTCAGTCACCGACTGCAGGTTCAACCGTCCCCAGTCATAGCCGTCATTCAGCTCACTGGTGTGAAGCTAGAAAGACCAAAAACAAAAAACAAAAGAAACGGTCCAGTAAGTATTCAATGACCTCCTGGGGGGAAAAAAACGTGCTCCTGAGAAGACATTACTACTGTTGCCGATACTTTACACAAATTTCTACCGCAACACTTGTTACAAATGCCATTACCAAGATAATCCATCCACCTTCTGATCCGCTTTATCCTCACAAGGCTCGCGGGGTGTGCTGGAGCCTATCCCAGCCGTCCTCAGGCAGCAGGTGGGGGACACCCTGAACCATTTGCCAGCAAATCACAGGGCACACAGAGACGAGCAACCATCCGTGCTCACACTCACAGCTTGGGACAATTTGGAGCACTCAATCAGCCTGCCAAGCATATTTTTGGAATGTGGGAGGAAACCGGAGTACCCGGAGAAAACCCAAGCAGGCATGGGGAGAACATGCAAACTCCACACAGGAAGGTCGAAGCTGGGATCTAACCCGGTACCGCTGCACTGTGAGGTTGACGCACTAACCACTGGACCAACGGGCCGCCTACAAAGATTACACTCCTCAGTTTTGATTGTCACTCAGAGAATAATACTTTGTAGGAATTCGGCAATATGTTTGATGTACTGTTGTGTTGTAGTTTGCAACGTGTCAGTGCTACAAGCTTTAATATGGAGCGCTGCACCAAATAGTTTGGTTACCTCATGAAGCAATAGCCTCAAACTTTATAGATAGATATGAGATGCATAAATTCCTGTTACCTCCTGTAGCAACAGGAATATTATACAGAGCTTTCTGTATTATGAAGTGCTGTTCTACACTGCAAACAACAAAATCAACAAGAACTTGCCTCATTACCGTGATCTATAATGCAGTTACTCTATGTTCATGGTAGAAAATGAAATAATAAAGGTCCAAATCAGCCATGATTATTATATCTTACCCAACTATACTAGTCTTTCTTGACAAACCAAAGCCACAACGAATGGGGCTATTGTAACTTGAAGAAAGGAACTGACAAACTCCTGAAGACATACATTAAAGTTCTATGTCGAACGACATATTCATTCCCGCCTTGTTAAATACTTAATTGTCATTAGACACAACTATCGGGAAACAAATCTGACCCGTAATGCGTTCTGATACAGTAATATGTGTAAATCAAATGCGTACCCATGTGTCGCCCCTCTTGTTGCCTCGTCCTCTCTGAAGTCTTTCTTTAATCAGAGATCTGCCGAGTGATCCTCCTCCTCCAGCCTTCTTCTTACCCATAACACCTTTTATAGAATCACTTCAACCCACAGCAATGTACTTATCTGGCTATAAAATCACGAAAAGTCACCGACGGAGGTACATGTGCACTGGGTTGTTGTTGGAATAACCGGAAAAGGAATATACCAATTCGGTAAAGGTTTGCCAATGACAGCTTCGATTTTGTATAACCCCGTATTCCAAGCAATAATTTATTCGTGTACGATAAAGCCACTAATATTGTAAATAAAGTTTAATCTGATTAATGTATGTTGTAGCCGACTTGAGTTACATAGTTTTTTTGGAACGTTCGAAATGTGTCCAACTTTCAAAAATGTCCTGAGAGAAAGCGCGACCACGGCAGTTTTTGTTCCCGGTGACTGATTCTGTCTTCGACATAAAAAAAGGCAAGGTGATTTTTTTCAGTGAGTAAATTTAAGAAAAATATCGCAGACAGAAACTAGTCTATCTATATCATTACGTTACGCAGTAACCGAACGTCTCAAATATGTCAAATTGAAATTAAAACTTTGAGACCAATATGTACATTGTTTATTTCAATACTGAATTGAGAATTAATATTCATTTATATTTTTTTAATTTATGAGAAAATTCGTCTTATTTATTTACTTATTTAAGTATTTAATAAATGAATGATGCATGCCATGTGAGATGCAGCTATCGTAAAAAACCGCAGGGTGGCGTCATAGATACTCTCATACTCTGTTGTTGCGTTTCAGGTTACACATTCTCAGTTGGTTTCGTCCCCCCTACAATACCAAAATGGTTTGTGCCAGTATATAGTCATCAGCGCCTGTATAGCCCTCTTCACTCGTCAACTTGACACACAGCATCCTGCAATGGATAACTTTAGAGGATGGACACATAAAGTACGGTGTCTCGTAGAGTAGTATCTCACACGTGTCTTCACTAGGATTAGAAAGCACTGTAAACATTAACTAGACTTTAGAAGTGCTTTTAAAAAGTTCACTTTTCCTTCTCTCTCAGTCGAGGTGCTCGCTGCGAACGGCTCTAAAATGCTTCCTTGGAAGAAGAATAAGTTCGACCTGATCGAGGAAGACAAACAGTCCAAGCAGAAGGGCTATGCGGTGAGTCTCACCTACTCGGCTCTCACCTCCTTCGCCAAGTCGTGCCCCGAGAGCGCGCTCAACCGCGTGGGTAACATGTTCAAGTCCAAGCGGAAAAAGGTCAGGATCACCAGCGACGACCCCACGTACACGGTGTTCTACCTGGGCAACGCCACCACCATCCAGTCTAAGGGGGACGGGTGCACCGACGTGGCAGTGAGCAAGATCTGGGCCAAGAGTGACATGGGCAAGAATGGCACCAAGATGCGGCTCACCATCAGCTCGCAGGGCATCCGCATGGTGCACGTGGACGATAAGGCGAAGAGACCGGGACACTTGTACCTACTGCACCGGATAACCTACTGTGTGGCGGATCCCAGGCTGCCCAAGGTGTTCGCGTGGATTTACCGGCACGAGATGAAGCATAAGGCGGTGATGCTGCGTTGCCACGCCGTGCTCGTGTCCAAGCCGGAGAAGGCGAAAGCTATGGCGTTGCTGCTCTACCAGACCTCGGCCACGGCTCTGGCGGAGTTCAAGCGCCTAAAGCGGAGGGACGACACCCGGCACCAGCAGCAGCAGCTTATCGGGGAGCAAACAATCCCCCTGGCGCCCCTCAGGAAGCTGCTGAACGGCCAGTGCTGCTACAAGCCGCCAGTGGAGCGCAGCCGGAGCGCGCCTAAGTTGGGTTCCATCACGGAGGACTTGTTGGGGGAGGAGGAGGAGGAGAAGGCCATGCACTTTGAATGCGAGGACATTCTGGACACGGAGGAATGTGTGGCCAATGGCAAGCACGAGCTCACTCAGATTATTAACGATTTGGGCGAGATGAGCATAGGCAACGACGTGCAGACGCTGAAAGCTGACCTCAAAGTCACCAGACTACTGTCGGGAGAGAGCACGGGGAGTGAATCGTCCATAGACAGCAGCCATGAGCTCCAGGCACTCTCCAACGGCTTCGAGCAGATAAAAGTACAGTGAATAATAGTGACAATAAGCCGTTGTTGTGTGTTGAGCCAACGTGTCTCCTCTCCTCCTTGACACAAACACCTGTTGACAGCATGCAGACTTTCTTAAATGTGTGCCTCTACAACAATGTGAGGAGGGGTTACACAAATATTCACATGATTTGGGAGATATAATGATATTGAGGAATTTGTTTGGGGGGGGGGGTCTATTTGGGGATGTGTGCTTATAACCTGCCAAATTCTGGTGTTCCAAAAAGTAGCACACGCAGGACTAATTCCCATCTTTTATTTAAGAGGATTTTCCTCAAGACTTGTTTACCCAAATTTTCGTATTGGTGAAAAATAACATCATTTGTTTAAATCGTGCCGACGAGCATCTAGAAATATTCAGTTTAGTCTTTTTTTTTCCATTTATTCGGTGGTGGGGAACCTGATATGGCATGCCAAGTGCATTTCCTCCAGCCTGCCATTGTAACATTTAACCCACACATGCTCAGAATATATGATAATAGTTGGTTGTATTTTTGTCAGATTCCCCACCCCTGCCTTAGTGGATCCAGACCTTTTTTGTTTTGTGTTTTTAGATGACAACCCCTTCTGTTCTTTAATTTTGCACTGTTGTCAACGTTACTCAAGTGTCACATTGACCACAATGTACATAATGTCTGTTTTTGTGATGTTGTCTAAAACATAAATGTCATATCTTTGCTGTGCAAAAGAAAATACACCTTTTATACAAGATGTAAGGTCAGATGTTTTAAAATATAAATATGTATTTTTTCTGAAATAATACAAAATGTGGTTTGCTCTGTGAACCTCATTAATAATAAAAAAAAAAGACATCATCAAATGTGTCAATTCATTTGTGTGAGAACATACGCTCTTTTGTCATGTTTGCACCCAAAGAAAAACACGTTTCTCCACTTTGGGGGAGTTTTTGTTTGGCATCCAAAACCAATTTTAAGAAGATTAGATTGGAAAGGCACACTTTTCATTGTGCAGCAACTATACACTGAAAATGATTGAAGGCCATATTTGTATGGAATCAATATGGGTTGTAAAATAGACAGTCTGTTAATAGATACTCGATTATATTTTCCTTCAATAGATTTTAGGGTGTTTTCCCCAATGGGAGCAGGCTGTTGAGAAGTTATTTTGTCAGGCCACTGAGGTCTCATTCATTGTCATCAGCCTCGGGGCATGGACACAGCACGTCACAGGCAGTTTGAACATCACGTGGCTCTGAATGACAGGCAACAGAAGCACTGGGACTAATAGAATGTTTTATGATTTTAAAAAAATACGACTGTTTTATGTGCACAAAGTCATGTGTCACATGATTATCATTGTCTATTTTGTCGTAGAAAGGGTTCTGTCAGTCGTCATCTGTACCTGTGGGTAAAAAACAAAAAAAGCAAAAAAGGACGTTTCGCTTCTCTCACAGAAGCTTCGTCAGCGGTAGACAACCCTGAAGTCTCCGTGAAGACTCCGGAAAGTTGCTCTGCGCTAAAAAGCTGAGCGTGGCCTGTTTGAGGACTGGGTGGGGATGGTTAGTCACGCCCCTATTGGTTTATTAGAGGCCCATTGGTTTCTAAATTCCCTATCATTGGGTCTTGATTAGGCCTATTAATAGGCTATTAATAGGCCTATTAATAGCCTTGATTAGGCCTATTAATAGGCTATTAATAGGCTATTAATAGGCCTATTAATAGGCTATTAATAGGCCTATTAATAGGCTATTAATAGGCCTAATGAAGACCCAATGATAGGGAATTTAGAAACCAATGGGCCTCTAATAAACCAATAGGGGCGTGACTAACCATCCCCACCCAGTCCTCAAACAGGCCACGCTCAGCTTTTTAGCGCAGAGCAACTTCCCGGAGTCTTCACGGAGACTTCAGGGTTGTCTACCGCTGACGAAGCTTCTGTGAGAGAAGCGAAACGTCCTTTTTTGCTTTTTTTGTTTTTTACCCACAGGTACAGATGACGACTGACAGAACCCTTTCTACGATGGAACTTTCCTGTACGACTGAGAGCCTCCACAAGCATTGTCTATTTTGGACAAAACAAGAAATTCCTTTCTTGAGTGGAACTTGTCCACAACTCAGAAATGACCCTCCCAAAAATACAAAGGACAAAACACGTGCCTTGTGACCACACTGTAAAAAAACACGTGTAGTTTGGGCTAAAACAGGAATTTAGGTTGGAAAAAAATTTGGGATATAAATTACTCAAATTTTTGACAAAAATGTTAGGTAGCACAACAAAACTTAGCAAGTTGTTCTGGCTTATATACTGTACCTACTGATATATATCTTTAAGTTGCGGTTCCATAAAAGGGACAGCCGTTCTGAAAACTTATTTCTTTATTGTGAAATTCAGGAAAGCCAATTTTTACAAGAGCAAAACTTAAAACATTTAGTCCAATTGCCCAACGTAAAATCTAATCAGAGTTTGCTGCCTTGACATTTGTAGTTTAGCCAAACGTTGTTTTTTTTTGTTTGTTTGTTTTGTTTTGTTTTTACAGTGCACCAATGCTGACAAGTTTAAATATCCTGTACACTCTGACAATTGGCGGGCAACACAAATGTCACCGTCCAAGTTGCCCCTCATTAGGCTCAGTGATATAACAACTGGACCAAAGCACACAACTCTATTGATGTATTGATACATGTGGCACGGCTTGCAGTAACAGAGATGAAGCAAGTGCACAGACACAGCAGAAAAAGCTGGCATGAGGGAAGCAATAAAGCCAAAAGAAGGAAAATATGCAAGGCGACCTTTATCTTGTAAGGACAGCTGATAGAATCCCACTGGCCACGCTAAATCCAACACTGAAAACAATATTCTCCCTCTCTATGAATTTAGGTAGAGATTCAAAGACAAAAAAAGGAATTTTGCATTTCAGCCACTGGCTTAGTATACAAACAAACCCAAGGGTTGAAACTCTGCTCCCCGGCAGGACCTCAAAGTGAGTCATTGTTTGCTTGCGTTGTGTTTTTCCTTTGCCTTTGTTGATCACTGACTTCGACATGATTGTAATTGCTCAACATACATTTTGTCTTTCCAGTGCAATGTGACTGTGGTTGAAGGCAAACTGCACATGTATCCGCGTCGACGAGGCGACATTGTCATGTGTCCCGCCAAATGTGATCTGTGGCCATGGCCTCGCGCACGCAAACAAAACACTTGTCGGCTGCTCTTGCCGTTAGCAGCGGCTCAATACAATTCGAGGTGAATGAATTTTTCCCTGACCTA